TACTAGATTTTATTAAAATAATTGTTTTGTACAATTAACATGTTATGAAAAGTAATTACCTTACCAGATAGTATAACATATCCCGGAATATAAATCTTTTGTATTTAAGCTGGAAAATTGCATTTACGTAATGTAAAAGGCAATTAGGGGAGAAGATTAATATATGATTTACCTATTAAAGCCCCACAAAAAAAAGAGAAAAGAGCTCAATAAAGAGCATCTGTTTTACACGCAACAGGTTGTTTTATATATACCGTATTACAGAGTCATTATAGCTAATTAGCCATAAAATTTTATAGTAGTGTATTAAATTTGTATATATAATACATGAATAATTCTTATTTGTTTAATAGCAATATAAGATATTATCAATAACCTAATGAAAGTAAAGGTCTTATACAATAAAATACTTTAGAACACCTATATTAATTTTTTATTTTTATACAATGAATTTATCACTAATCTTATTTACAATTGGAATTTTAGGTTTTGTTTTAAACAGAAAAAACATAATATTAATGCTTATTTCAATAGAAATAATGCTATTAGCTATTACATTTTTAGTATTGGTTAGTTCACTTAGCTTTGATGATATATTAGGTCAAACATACGCTATTTATATTATTGCCATAGCCGGAGCAGAATCTGCGATAGGTTTAGGTATTTTAGTAGCTTTTTATAGATTTATCTCTTTTAAATCAATCCATCTATCCTTTAGTCAAGCTAAATCACCCATTAAATCTCTTAATATCATTCCAAGTGGAATAAGAAATTATTCTACATCTAAACCCCTTAACTGTAAAAATTCTTTAGATCCATAATTTATAACTGGAATTTTTGATGCTGAAAGTTCCTTTCTAATTGCAATGCTAAAGAATTCTAGATATAAAACTGGATGAAATGTGCAGGCCAGAATTCAACTAAAGATGCATGAAAAAGATAGATCTTTAGTATTGAAAATACAGGAATATTTCGGAGGTATAGGACTTGTATCCCAACCCAATAATAATTCTACAGTGGAATTTAGGGTTCATTCTATTAAGGATATAACTAATATAATTATACCGCACTTTGATAATTATCCCTTATTAACTAAAAAATATTCCGATTCTATGCTTTTTAAAAATGTTATTAATTTAATGTTAGAAAAACAGCATACTAATCTAGAGGGAATACAAAAAATAATTAATACAAGGGCATCTATGAATGGAGGTTTATCTGACCAATTAAAAAAGGCTTTTCCTGAAACTATTCCTGTTATAAGAAAGAGTAAATAACTATAATACACTTGTGCATTCTAAACCGTGAATAGCTGGATTTTCAACAGGAGAATCTAATTTTTTTATTGCTATTAATAAATCTAAGACAACAGACAATATATATGCTTCATTACGTTTTTCTATTGCTCAAGATTTAAGAGATGTAGATTTATTAGAGTTTTGTAGACTTCTTTAAATGCGGATATGTAGTTAGATATGAAAAGCGTTCAATAGCTGAGTTTGTAGTTACAAGAATTGATGATATAATTAACCATGTAATACCTTTTTTTGAAGAATATAGTATTGCAGGATCAAAGTATTCAAATTATTGTACTTTTAAAATAGCTGCTTTTATGGGTAAAAACAAAGAACATTTAAAAGAAGATGGTCTGAAAGAAATCTTGTTATTAAAAAACAAAATGGGGATTACTACTAAAAATAATCATGGAGATGATTAGGGGTTTGAGAGAAAATAGGTCAAAAAAGGTAGAGCAAACCTCTATCTAGTCTCATTAAGGCGAAATCTTCAAAATGCGGGGAAATCTTAAAGACAAATCTACCAAATTAATATAGTACTATGATTAATGGAACAGGTAATGACTCGTTGTATGGTAAAAACGGTTTGTATGAAGAAATGAAATAGATAATCCGCAGCTAAACATCAATATAGAAATATTGGTTAACAGTTCATCGACTAAATGGAGGTTGGTTTATAATTATATAATTATATAATTATTTGCTTAAGTTATAGTCAGGCATAATAGAAAAATTATGGTAATATCCTATCCTTCCTAAGGGAATACAATTCCTATGGAAAAAGGGAGAAAACGAAGAGGAAGTATTAGTATTGAATTTAAATAATGTATCTAGCTATAATAATCTTACCACTATTAGGATCAATAGCTTCTGGTTTTTTTGGTAGAAAAATCGGAGTATCAGGAGCACAAATAATTACATGTACAGCTGTTGTTACTACAACAATATTGGCTG